GAGAGGGAGGTGGGAGGGGGGATCGGGATGGGGAATACATGTAAATCCATGGCTGATTCATGTCAATGTATGACAAAAACCACTACAATATTGTAAAGTAATTAGCCTCCAACTAATAAAAATAAATGAAAAAAAAACAGTCAACACATAATCAAAGCCAAAAAAAAAAAAAATCCTTGCAAGTCTGCAAAAAAAATAAATAAATAAATAAATAAAGGATGACTTGGGTTTGCACTGTGTTGGGTGAACCTTGATTCATTTACCCTTGGGCACGGGGGGGTGTCTCACTTTTCAGTGGAGTGAGAAATGCTTGGCTGAGCAGCTCTGTGTCAGGGGCTTTGTGCACATGTGGGGTTATGTCCTTAGGATACATCTCCAAAAGTGGAATCAGTGGGTCACAGGATATGAACATTTTTAGGCTTGTGAAACAGGTTCCCAAGTGACCCTCTCAGAAAGGTCATACCAGTTTTCACTGTCACCAACAGAGTCTGGGAATGCCTAGCACTGCACCTCGAGAATATGTTTTGTGCTGTGCTGTGCTTAGTCATTCAGTCCTTTCCAACTCTTTTCCATCCTATGGACTGTAGCCCACCAGGCTCCTCTGTCCACGGAGATTCTCCAGGCAAGAATACTGGAGTAGGTTGCCATGTCCTCCTCCAGGGGATCTGTCCAACTAAGGGGTCGAACCCAGGTCTCCCACATTGCAGGTAGATTCTTTACCATCTGAGCCACTAGGAAAGCCTGGATACGTTTCAGGTAGGATTAATGTTCATGAGTAGGTTACATGCAGTATGGTTCCGACTATATGTCATTCTGGAAAAGGTGAAACTAGGGCAATAATAAAAAAATCAGGGATTGGTAAGGGGTGGGAGGATGATGAATAGATGGAGCACATAGGGTTTTTAGGACAAGGAAACTATTCTGTGTGATTCCATAATGGTAGATACATGTTATCATACATTTGTCCAGATCCATAGAGTGTACACCACCGAGTTGAACCCTTATGCAAACTATGAACTTTAGGTGCTAATGATGTGTCCGTGTAGGTTCATCAGTTATCACAAATGAGATGATCCGATGAGGGATGTTGATGGTAGGAGAGGCTGTGCCCCTGGCGGGGGTGGGAGTTAAAGGAAAACTTTCTGAATTTTCTGCTCAGTTTTACTGTGAACCTAAAACCGCTCTAAAAAATGAAGTCAAATAAATAGATGAAGTCCATCCAGCCCCAGCACAGTGCTTGTCACAAAGCCCACTTTCTGCACTGTTTGAGGAGGGACTCAAGAAAGAGAGTAGAATTATGACAAAGATGGAAAGAATGGGTCCGAGGAGAAGGTGGAAGATGTTGGGGACACAGCGACTGGAGTCTAACCTTTCCAGGGTCCCCAGGGGAGGTCACCCCAGGGACTAAGTCACAGAGTAAGTTGGAGGAATGCCCTGAACATAGGTCCTATGACTAGGGGGTGAAGAGCTCGGCACATTTATCCTGGAAGACAGATTTAGGGAGAGACTTGACAGCCTTCTCAAATATTTAAAGGGCTGTCTCATAAGAGAAAAATAAAACTTGTTCAATGAGCTCCAGGTGACAGAACTGAACTCAGGGGCCAGAAATCCCAAGGAGATAGATCTCAGCTGAATTTGAGTTCTGCAATAATTGGAGCCTTCCAGAGAAAGCATGGACTTTGGACTTTAAAAGGATCAACAGAACAATAACAGAACAGAGGTCCTCTCCTCTCTGAAAACAGGGAAAGGGGGAGGCTGGGGTAAATATTTACACCTGAATTTCTGTTCATTTGATGTTTGCTGTTTGTCTAGGAAATGGATTTAAAAATGCAAAAAGAAGACATTTTAAATAATAAATTAAATGATGCACTGGCCATGCTAGAAAAGGCTCAGAAAACTAAGATGGCTGAAAGTCTGAAAGCAGAGAACCTCACCATGAAATTAAATGAAACACTAGCTGAACTGGAAACTGCAAAGACGAAAATGGTAAGTCAGTGCCTTCTGGGGACAGGAGAATTTTCCCTTCAACGCACGATCACGATGCCATGTGTGGTTTAGACCAGGGGTTCTCAGCCTCCACACTGTTGATGTGCTGGGGGGGTAATTCTCACGGTGGGCGGGGGCGGGGGGGGGGCTGTCCTGTGCATTACAGGATGTGCAGCAGCACCCACTGAGCTCCAACCAGAAGATGCCAGTGGTACCCTACCCTCAGCTGTGACAACCAAAAATGTCTTCTGACTTTGCCAAATCTCCCCCAGTGCGGGGGGAGGTGGGGGGAATCACCCCCTGTTGAGAAGCATTAATTTAGTATGAAAGGTAGACAGAAGCTATGACACCCTCTCTCCGGGGCCATCTAAGATGATATAATTCAGGCTACTCCCAGGATCACACTGAGCAGCCCTGGAATTTAGGGGCCAGTGATGATTCCATAGAATTTAAGACAGAATTTTTCAATTTTAGCTTGACATTCAAGGCCCTTCACCATCAGGGCTCAATATTGCAATGACCTGTCATTCACACATTTAACCGACAGGTCTGTGGACGAGGACGTAATGAGGACTGACCTGGCGGAAGTACCACAGAGGGAAGACGAGAGGGACTGGGCTTGGAGACAGCAGCTCTGGGGTGTGGCACATGGTGGCCGTTCCCAAGGTCCTGAATCACAGGACCTGGACACTCAGGGTAGCAGAGGAGTGGGGAAAAGGAGTTGCTATGGAGGGAGTTACCAGAGAAGTGGCAGGACTTGTTAACCGATGGACAGGACAGTAGTGCCGAGGAGAGGGAGGAGCCAAGGAGGCGGGCCAGCTTCCAGCCGGGCACCATGGAGCCAGGCAGTGATGGCACTTGGAGTTGCTGTAAAGATAGAGGTTGGGCTTGGGGATGGGGGCAGGTCTCTTGTGGGAGAGGGACTGTCCTGGAGAAGATAAAGCATTCAGACTGAACCGAGGGTAGGGATATCAAAGTTCAAAAGTTGCCCAAACTTTTGGCGGCACGTTAGATTTGGGGCAGGAAGTAAGACATGAAGACTAAAGTTGGAGGAGAGCCTCTGCGGAGTGATGGTTGAAGGAGGGGGCATGTGTGAGCATCTGGGGCAGAGAATTTCTGTATCCGGAGGAGATCAGAGGCCCATCGTGTTAACAGGGAATGGAGAGCGAGAGAATGACATCATCCTGAGAGCAGGAGAATGATGTCATCCAGGTGGCAGGAGAATGACCTCATCCTGAGAGCAGAGGAAGGGGTAGGGGAGCGGGAGGGGAGCAAGGAGACTCAGCACTGAGACTCAGGTGTGAGGAGCGGCTGCAAGCAGGGAGGGTGGTTATGGGAAGGGGTGTGACTCACTATCAGGAGGCCACTGGTAACTTTTATTTTTAAGAAATACAGATTTATTCACTTTTTTCTTATAAAGTTGTTCACTCATTAACTCAACCAGTACTTATTGAGCATCTAGGTCTAGATGCTGTGGCAGGGATCTGGGCTCTGATGCTATGGGCATATTGGTAGGTAAAGGGTAAGTTTCTGCCCTCATGGAGCTTCCATTCTAGTAGGAGCGAGAAATAAAGACATGAGATGGTTCACATGGTAATAAGCACCTCAGGGAAAATAAAACAGGATGATGTCTCCTTTAGATAGGCAGTCCAGGAGGGCCTCTCAGAGGAGGTGACATTGGTGCTGCAGCCCAGCACACATGGAATCAGCCTCATGAGGAGCTGGGGGAGGAGTGTATGGGCAGAGGGAACAGCACGTGCAAAGGTCCTGGGGCAGGCAGAGCTCAGTGCCAGTGCGTGCAGAGGGGCCATGTTGTTCCTTTTCTCCATCATCTTACCCAGCTCCCAAGATCACATGAACCATGTCTGTTTCCCCAGATCATGATGGAGGAGCGGATGCAGCTGCAAAAGCACACAGTAATGGCCCTCCAAGAGGAGCAAGAATCACAGAAGCACGAATTTGAAAAACAAATCATGGAATACAAGGAACAAATCAAGCAGCACTCCCAGACGATCGTGAACCTTGAGGAAAGACTCCAGAAAGTGACTGAACACCACAGAAAGATAGAAGGAGAGATCGCCACGCTGAAGGACAGTGACCCAGGTCAGTCCAAAGAGACGCCAAGGGAACCTTGGTGTTCAGGGTGGGTTCTGATGACCCTGTGGGTCCCTCCAGGCTAATGGACAAGAAAAAGTCTGCGTCTCATTTAAAAAGCCCCTCTGTTGTCTGGAGGCCCCTGTCCTTGTCGCACTGCAAGGTCAGGTGCCCTCCAGGCCCAGGTTCAGCAGAAGTAACACGATGAACAGAGACAGGCTTTGTGCCGAGCCGGTCAGCCAGGGAGCAGCACAGGCTGCCGGGGCTGTGAGGGGTGTCAGAACACACGACGGGAATCGTCCTTTCCCCGTGGAAGCATCCCAGGCAGGGCCCTTTCAAAGGCGTCTCTCTGCCATCAGCAGTTTGCAGCGCTGTCTAATGCTCTTTCACAACCAGCTGGGGTTTATCTCTTAAAAAAAAAAAAAAAAAAAAAAGCCTGAAGAAAGAACTCCGAGTTGTGAGCATTTGTTTGCCCTGAATGACCAGGGGTGACAGATAAAACTAAAGACAGTGAGCTCTTGAAGAAGAGTTCTGGAAGTAGAGGCCTCGGCCTCGGGTTTCTCATCCTGAGTGTTAGTGTTGCCACGTGGGCTAGATCGGCTTCCCTGGTGTCTCAGCAGTAAGGAATCTGCCTGCCAATGCAGGAGATGTGGGTTCGATCCCTGAATCGGGAAGATCCCCTGCAGGAGGACCTGGCAACCCACTCCAGTATTCTTGCCTGGGAAATCCCATGGACAGAGGAGCCTGGAGGGCTACAGTCCACGGGGCTGCAAAGAGTGGGACACAACTGAGTGACTGAGCACGCACGTGGGCTGGAGCGCTCTTTGTTGGGGACTTTCCTATGCACTTAGGGTGTTGAGCAGCGTCCCTGGCCTCTACCCACTGCATGCCCATGCCCCACTCCAGTGTAACAGCCAAAAATGTCTCCAGACATGGCTGAATGTCCCCTTAGGGGTAAACTCACTCCTGGTTGAGAACCACGGTCCTAGTCTCAAGCCAGCTGACAAGCTGTCAGGGCTCACCTCATGGATACGTTCATTCAACACACTTAGCTTAGCAGCTCTTGTGTCCTGAGCTCATTCTAGACACTGGAGGTTCGGCTGTGGGCCACCATGCAGCATCCCTACAGTTTTCGAGGTCACTGCCCTGCCAGGGGACCCAGCATGAACAGGGCACCACAGCAAGAGCAGGGGACAGGACTCGGTTCCCAGCCCAGGTCCAGGTCAGAGGGAGGGTGTTCCAGCTGGGACGCTTTTTTGCCACCCCAGACTTAGATCCGTGCCTGCCATCAAGCAGATGCTCCATAAGCATCTGTTGAACAAATAAACGAGCGAGTGAACTGAGGATGGGGGCGGTGGCAGATATCGGAAGGCAGTGGGCTGAGGAGTAACTGGGAGGTGAGCACAGCGGAGGGCAGGAAATGGGGCAGGAGGTGCGACCCAGGGAGGGGTTAAGGCTCTACATCTCACCCCTTAGCTGGGTGGTTACCAGCAGGTCCCACCAGTGCCATGCTCACTTCCTCAGCTGTCAGTGGTATCAATGGGTGTTAATCGCTTCACTTGTGTCCGACTGTTTATGACTCTATGGATTGTAGCCCACCAGGCTCCTCTGTCCGTGGGATTCTCCAGGCAAGAATACTGGAGTGGCTTGTCATGCCCTCCTCCAGGGAATCCTCCTGACCCAGGGATTGAGCCTGTGTCTCCTGCATTGGCAGGTGGATTCTTTATCACTGAGCCAACTGGGAAGCCCCCAGTGGCATCTGTTATCCCTGCCTTAGAGAGTGCATGCATGTTCAGTCACTAAGTTATGTCCGACTCTCTGAGACCCCATGGACTGTAGCCCACCAGGCTCCCCTGTACATGAGATTTCCCAGGCAAGAATACTGGAGTGGGTTGCCATTTCCTCCTCCAGGGGATCTTCCCGACTCGGGGATCAAACCCATGTCTCCTGCATTGGCAGGCAGATTCTTTACCACTGAGCTACCTGGGAAGCACCACCACCTCAGACAGCAGCTGGAAAGATGTCATGAGCTCATGCACAGGGGAAGGGCAGCCTGTGATACAGAACTCATGGTGGTTCTCACTAGGTGGAGAGGGCTGGGGGCGGAGGGAAGGATTGTCAGTTGAGAAGGTTTACTCTGTTGATAAGCAAAGGGGAAGGAAAATATCCCTTGCCTGAGGACTGTGATGACGTTCATGTGTCCCTCTGATTCAGCCCAGGAGGGGGACGCACAGCCGGACCCCGCAGCAGCACCTCTAGGGGAGAGCAGCTCCAAAGATGCAATGTGCGACCACCTGATGTGAGTACGGGACGGGACTCCTGCTTCTGGTCACGTTGTCAGAATCTGACAGGAGTTGAGTCTGTGCAGTCCTTGCTGCTGGTTGAGTTTCTCAGTCCCTTTAGTAAGTCAGGCTGATGTCATGGAAAGATCTGGGTAGATCTAAGTTCAAATCCTAAACTCAACACTCTCCAGGTATGTAGCCCCAGGCAGGTCACATCCCCTCCTGTGCCTCAGCGCCCCCACCCGCCTCCACCCCGCCCCTCTGCTTGTGAGATAAGGAGGCACATGAATGCCAGCTAATGCTACTACTATTTTCCCCAAAGACCTGCCCAAGGCAAGCCTATTTTTGGGTTTCAAAACAGTGGAAACCACTTGGTGGAGTGGGGTCCCGGAGAGGGTTAAAAGTTAAGAGGTTAGATTAAACAACCTTGAAGATCCCTCCCAACCCAAAGGTCCATACTTGGAGCCTCAAAGAAGTTAAGTGATATCACTCAGTTGTGTCCAACTCTGTGTGACCCCATGGACTGCAGCCCACCAGGCTCCTCTGTCCATGGAATTCTTCAAGCAAGAATACTGGAGTGGATAGCCATTCCCTTCTCCAGGAGATCTTCCCAACCCGCAAAGAGCTGACCATTTCCAGAGAAACAAAACCCATGGATGGGGAAGATCCTGAAAGACACCGCCAAGCATCATACAAAGTAGAAGGCGGTAACATGATGCAGAGAAAGGATTCAGAAAGTTTCTCAAAGAAGGCAAGCCACCAGCCTGAGCCCTGCCCCAAATAGCAATTACCAAAGTCTAATGTCACACAGGTTTTACCCCAAGACGGCAATGATACTCAGATTTTCAAGCTCCACGTTCTGAAAAGTTTGTCTCCTCCTGTAAAGTTCGTGTCTCCTCCTAAACTCTGTAAAGAAAACAGTAGCCATGACCTGGAGAAGAATCAGCATCAGGTTCTTCTCTGGTTCACTTCCTTAATGATGAACACTTGACGCAGAGTCTCATCCTCAAGTTGGAAGAGTCATGGCCGAGGAGATTAGACAGACAGACAGACAGACATGTATGTGTATGTGTGTGACCCATTCCAGTGATCACCAATCTTTTTTATTTCGATTTTCACATGCAGCCTGCAAGTATTTTGCTTTATTCCATAATAAGCACACACACTGCCTTCAAATGTCTATATAAGAGGAGGCTATACTTCAAAAGACTGTGAATACAAATGAAGTGACACTAATACCTGCCCAGAGACTCAATCGTGTCCAACTCTTTGTGACCCCATGGACTATAGTCCATGAAATTCTCCAGGCCAGAATACTGGAGTGGATAGCCTTTCCCTTCTCCAGGGGATCTTCCCAACCCAGGGGTTGAACCCAGGGGTTGAACCCAGGTCTTGCAGGTGGATCTTTTACCAGCTGAGCCACAAGGGAAACCCAAGAATACTGGAGTACATAGCCTATCCCTTCTCCAGCAGATCTTTGCAACCCAGGAATCGAACCGGGGACTCCTGCATTGCAGGCAGATCCAACCAGTCCATCCTAAAGGAAATCAGTCCTGAATATTCATTGGAAGGACTGATGCTGAAGCTGAAACTCCAGTACTTTGGCCACTGGATGCAAAGAACTGATTCATCTGAAGGCAGGAGGAGAAGGGGATGACAGAGGATGAGATGGTTCGATGGCATCACCAATTCGATGGACATGAGTTTGAGTAAACTCCGGGAGTTGGTGACGGACAGGGAAGCCTGGCGTGCTGCAGTCCACGGGGTCGCAAAGAGTCAGACATGACTGAGTGACTGAACTGAACTTAACTGAGACTCAATCTCTAAACCCGCTTTACTGTGTTTCCTCCTGCCCCAACACACACATGCACATACACACACATGTGTGCACACACACACCACACACAGTATGCTTCTCTCGGGGCTGGGCTGTCTCACGCCTGCTCATAAGGCCCTCAAGTTGCCTCTCCCGCCATCACCCTGGGCCCCTCCCATGAAACATCACCTCCCAGTCAGCCACCCTGATCACTGTGATACCAAAGACACACCCTCTGGGGTGTGGGACCAAGGACCTGCCCTCATCCACTCTCCCTGTGTCCCCTGCTTAGTTCTCTGGGCCCCCAGGGCCCATACATCCCCAAAGGGTCACTTGAACACCACCCGTTCATGTGGCCCCTCTTCTCTCCCATCAGGAATTAAAAGAAGCTGGTGAGAGCACGAAGCCATACTGTCCTCTTCTCTCTTTTTTTCCTCATCCTCGAAGAATCCCTGAACCCACACATGCACAAAATAGTCTTCCCTCTTCTTTGCACCAAAGATCAAAAGTCCATGAGAGCATTGGTTCCTGCTGACAGATGGCTGAGCAGGAAGAGGTGTCCTTTTGATATTAGTTGTATTTCAGCCTCAGAGCAAACCCAGCCAGGATCCTTTGTTCTGTCTCCATGTATTTCTTTATAACGAACGTGCATCAAAACGGATTCTTGTTCTGAGAAGTTTTCAAGAGTGGGCTTGCTGGGGGTGGCGTCATCCCCAAATTGGACCATCACTGATGGAGGATCACACTGCCTCTGCGCTTTTCCCCTTCCAGGCACTGGAGCATCACCACAGAGATGGAGCTGAACTGACTTGGTCTGTTTTGTGTGTGTGTGAATTTCAGAGAGGATTTATTGACTGCTCAGAAGGAGATCCTGTCTCAGCAGGAGATCATCATGAGGTTAAGGAAGAACCTGACTGAAGCTCATAACCGAATGTCAGACCTGAGAGGTTTGTGCAATTGCCTGTGTCTCTCAATTTCCCAACCCACTTTGAGAAAGGAAAGAAATGGGTCTTCGGGGTTGGAAAGCTGGGCATTTAAACCCCACCTCAACCTGCTGTCCTGGGCCATCACAGCACTTGTAACTCAGGATCAGCAAAAGCTGCGGGTACTGAACTGATTCCATTTGATGTGGGATCACCGGGAGCGTTCTCACATGGCTCCACACCTCTGAGTAGAAATGCAGCTTTCTTTTTTGGGAAGAATCTCTGTTGACCACAAAGGATTTGTCTGTAGGAGCAAAGGCTTGGAGGTCATTCGTGGGTCCCCTCGCTTGGCAGGCCAGCCAGCACAAGTCCTAGTGCCCACCAGCTTATGGACCCTAGTAAGTGCACCCTTGGTCTCTCCTGCCTCTGATGCAAAAACACTTGCCACACATCTGCCCGTTGGGGCTCCTCCTGTCCCTCACGTCGACATCAGGACCCACCTAGAGCAGGGGCAAGGTAGCTCTGAGGTCTCTTCTCTTCTGGATGGGCACAAGTCTGGCTGAATATTCCTCTGTGGCTCCTCTTCTCCCCAGACTTATTTCTGCCTCCCTTCTTCTTGCTTATTAGAGCTGCCTCCTCTTTCCCATCCCTAACTTCCACTTAGCCAAAGGGCAGGAGTCGGGAGGTATAATTAGGTTTGGGAGGGGGTGGAGGGAGGGTGAAGAACAGTCCTTTTATCTGGTCCCCATCTCAAGCCCTGTGCATCCCAGACCTTCAGTTGTGTTTATTCCCTGTGTCTGGGCCAATTGATGTCCCCAGGACTTTTATAGCAGGATTTTTCAGAGGGATTTTCCCCTTCCAAGATATGATAATTTGTGGCAGAAAGGCCGCATTGTCTAGTTCTAGAATTGGGAGGCATTGGACCCAGTTCTGGATCTGCTATTTATTAGATGGGTGACTTTAGACAAGTCCCTTGACCTCTGTGAACCTCGGTTTCTGCATCTGTGATGTGGGGCTGTTACTAGGAACTGCCTTGTACGGTTGCTCTGAAGATCCGAGACAATGTAGGGGTCTTAGTTTGGATTTTCCCAGAAAGCAGACCCCGAGACCAGAATTCCACTGCAGGTGGTTCACTTGAGAGATGATCCAAGGGAAAACAGCAGTGGAAGGGAAGTGAGACAGGCGAGGAAGAAAGCAGATAAAGAATTGCCGTGCTGTCTGTCAGCAGGCACAGTGGGGGACAGAGCTTAATTCTGCCAGGGAGTGGGGATGCTGGGGAGCAGTGTGGTCACAGCCCTCCAAATGCCACCTGGACGGGGAGAGGGCTGGGCTGTGTGCTCCAGCCTGTCTCCACCAGGCCTCGGTTGGAGGCTGTTGCCTCTGGCAGACACGTGAGCAGAGCTGTCTCCAGAGGGCTCAGAAGCCTTAGGCAAACAGATGCAGAAGCAGGCTGCTGAAGGTGCCCTAAAATGCCACAGGCACACAGGCCCTGACAGCTGGGGCCAGGCGGGCGCCACACAGGCTGCCTCACGGCGCCAGCGCTCATCGAAAGGTGATGCTGGTGGGCGGTTTTGTTGTTTGGTTTTGTTGTGTTTTTTTTTTTTGCAAGCAGACCTCCTGGCTGTTACTGAAGCCCCCTGAGAATTCCTGGAGGGTGAACCGCCTCGTGGTTCTTGGAGTCCTGGCAGATCTGCTATGGCCCTCCAGGAGACCCAAGGCAGGAGACCCCACCCCCAACAGCTTGCATGTACCACCCCCCCAGGGGAACTGAACGAAAAGCAAAAAATAGAACTGGAGCGGAACGTGGCACTGGTCCAGCAACAAAGCAGTGAGCTGAGCGTGCTCAAGGACAAGATGGTACAGATGACCAGCCTGGTGGAGAAGAAGGACAAGGAGCTGGAGGTCCTCAAGCAGGCGCTCAGGTGGGTGGGAAGGCCTGCACAATGGGTGTGGGGAGCCCAGGCATACCCAAGTACCCAGGGAGCCTGGCATAGAGAGAGGAAGGGCTCAGTCAATGATGGTTAAAGAGTTGAATGAATGAGTAGATGAATGAATGAATGACATATGTTTCATTGCTTCACAACCTCATCATTTAAAACTTTGCTCAGTTCTGAGCATCTCAGAGATTCCTGCCCAATATTTCAGAGAAGTCTCAGTTTAAATGCAGCTTCCTCCAGGAAATCCTCCATTACTCACCCTCACCAAACATAGCCAAGGCTCTGCCCAGGGTCCCTCACCCCCTGCATGTCACCTGATCTAACACTTCTCACCCGGCCAGGCTGCTCCACCTGTTGAATTATCTGCCTTCCCCATGAGGACCCCTTGTAGACCTTGCCTGCTACTGACTCCCCACCATTCACACAATGCCTGGCATGTAAATATTGACTGAACAGAAGTGTAAGCTGGAGGTGTCAGAGGTCAGCTTAAACTAAATATAGTGTTGTTATTCTGCAGGTTTGTCTATGAAACATATGTGAGTTTGCATTTTCATCCATAGTTTATCCATATTTTGACATAAGATTAATGTTTTCTCCAAGAAAGTTTGAATAAAATTGATGTCTCATGTGTACCCCATAGCTTTGTTTGCTTCATGGTTCGTGGCCAAGATGGATTCACATCGTGGTTAAAAGAACAGGCTCCAGGCTTGGGCTGTCTGGATTCAAAACCAGGTGCCCTCATCTATAAGCTCCGTGACCACAGGGAAATTGCCGTGTGTCTCTTTCCTGGTCTGTAAAATGGGGCAAGGAGAGTCCCTAGCTCATGGGACTGTTATGAGAAATAGAAGGGTTGACATATACCAGGTGTTAGAAATAGCAGACAGGCACTACATGGCCACATAAATGCCACAGCAGGTGTCCTGCAGACCCAGTGCAGGAAGCAGGAGTGGAGAGGTGCCTGCCTCCCTGGTCACTAACCAGCAAGCTCAATTATCCAGAAACCCTCGGGCAGGAGCTTGAAGGCTCCAAGATTTCGGTTCCCTGTAAACGTGGAGTCCCTTTCCCACTTCTGCTTGTGAGTACAAAGGTAATTTGTGGTTCCCAAACCTTGTGCAGCCAGCCGCCCTCCTGCTCAGTGACTCATCTTCTCTGCCCCCAGGGCCTCCCAAGAGAAACAGAAACTCCAGCTGCACAAGGAGAAGGAACAGAAGCCCAGGAACACAACCAAGATGTGTGACATTTCGGTGCAGATAGAACCAGTCCACACTGATACTTTCTTGAGCAGCCAAGAGGTGAGCACCTGCCGCGTCCCTGAGGGCATCTAGAAAGATAAGCGAAGAAAGAGCCCGATGGAGGCTTTCTTTCCTTTTGAAAACATCTTCATTCTAAGTTCCAAAAGCATGACTTGCTTACGTGAAATGTATAAAGTTATCATCAGCTGGGCACCTGTACCGTCAGCCCTCTTCCTCACAGGAACCACCACACCCTCATACAGTCAGCAGTTGAAGTTCAGGCTTGGAGCTCGTCTGCCTGGGTTCCAGTCCTGACTCCTCCACTCGGAAACCCTGCAACCTGGTACCACTTCCCTCATCTGGAAAGTGGGCATAATGCCAGCCACCCCATCATGGGATTGTTGAGAAACAAATTTAACTCACACACACAAACATGTACAAGCTTACATATATATATATATATTTATTTGATAGATTTTTTTCAAAATATAGTCTCAAACCATATTTATTCTGCAACTTATTTCTTTTTTCCCACATAATACTGTTTCATGGGCATATTTTCAAGTAAATGTACGTGAAGATCTACCTCATTCTTTTGTTTGTCCCAAGCTGGCAATTGTATTTTTGGAGCACATATACCAAATGATTTGGAAATTTTCATCTCCAAGGCCCAGCGTGTGGGCTGGGGCGACAGTGGTGGGCACATGGGACAGCACCCCTCCTCCTGCTGTCAGCAGGGATGCCCACCCCCCACCCTAAGCCAGCAGCTGCTTCCACTGTCACAATTCTGACAACTGTGACTCCCTGGCCCTCTGCTGGGGACTCGCAGGGCCATTTCCACTGAATTCCATCACGTCCCTTTTATCCAGCCAGTCACCTGTTGATGAACATTTGTTTCTGCTTCCGCACGTTGCTGTAGTTAAGATCTTTCTGAAAGTGAAAGCGTTAGTCGCTCAGTCGTGTCCAATTCTTTGCAACTCCATGGAATGTAGCCCGCCAGTCTCCTCTGTTCATGGAATTCTCCAGGCAAGAATACTGGAGTGGGTAGCCATGCCCTTCTCCAGGGGATCTTCCGGACCCAGGGATCACACCCAGGTCTCCCGCATTGCAGGCAGATTCTTTACTGTCCAAGCCACCAGGGAAGCACTTTGTAAGTATGCAAAACAGATTCCTAGCTGTGATCCTGAGATGTCCAGGGGACATCCTAAATTAGGCCTGCAAGGGCTCAAATGCCAGGCCATTTATGCTCCGTGGCTGACCTGGTGATCTCTGCCCGGAGGCCTTCGCATGCCTGGAAGTCCCAGCAGGCAGCGCGCAGGGCTCACGTCATCGATGGAGAACCGTGCCTCAGCCCGTGGTCCTGTACGGTGGCTCCCATCTGTCCCTGTGGCAGGCGGGTGGTGCGTCCCATGGTCTGTCGTTGGCTGACCGTGGGCACGGCACTTCCTCGAGGCCCCAGGTTTCCTGGAGTCCAGGGATCTCCTTTCTCCCTTCGCTTTATGAAACTAGAGACCAGGGTGTTTCAGTAATGTGCTTTGGACTTTCTCTTGGAAACAGGGCCAAATGTGTCAGCTTGCCTGCCTGCTTCCTCAAAGATGCCTTTCCCCTGCCAAACAGCAGGGAGCCAGGGCCGCACGCAGCGTGAAGGAGAGGGCTCAGAGGCCCCGCCGGCTGGCCCTGGCTCCCGTCACCATCCAGAGACCTCTATAGCAGCAGCATCTCCTCCTTACTAGGGCAGCCCAGCCATGGTGCTGCAGCTGGTTCCACAGCTGTGAGCGCCCGGGGCCGGAAGCAGGTCTCATTCCTGTTAAAATCCAAGCTCTAAGTGCAGGACCTGGCCTGTGTTCGTTCACATGTTCAGCAACTATTGGGCACCTGCTGCATGCCAGACCCTGTGCTGGGCGCAAAGCAGAATGCTCACGGTTCTTGCCCACACAAGACCCCCTCTGACTGTCCTGTGTTTGCTGAGAAGGATTGTTGACCAGAGGCCCTGTTTCAGTTTCTGTGATGATGTCGTATTAGAGGAGGATGGGGGAGGGAAGCTGCAAGATGAAAGGAAAAAGGCTTTTTTTCTTTCTCAGAACAGCCTTCCACACTCAGTCTACTTCCTGCTTTCTAAACCAGAGTGGGTCAGAGGGCTTAAGAGTTGTATGAGAAAGAATCTCCATCTTCTCTAAATAAACAAATTCCCAGAAGGGCCATGAGTAAGGGTCACGTCGGGCTCAGCCGAGCTCTCCAGGCAGAGGAAATGCTGTCACCGAGCCTGGTGGCTGCCCCACCCCCAAAACCAGCCACCACCTCCTCTCCACCCTCCAGCACGTGTGCACATGCACAGCGTTCCTGGTGTTCACTCCCAGGGCAAACATATGCCCTCAGAGAGGGAGGCTGGTGTAGAAACAGCCTCGGAAGTGGACCAGCCGAGCAGGCTGAAAGCCGGCTGGAGCCAGGATCAGGGTCTACTGAGGCCCTACTAAGTGCGGCACCCCCTTCTCTCAGGGCTGAACCTTGGTCCCAGCAGGAACGCTGGGGCAGGCCCCTCCTGGCTCCATATTTACGGAGCTCCTACTGTGCTCGGGCACAGGGCTGAGCTTTGGGAATAGCTCGGCCTACATGGGAGACAAATTCTGTTCTCACAGGGCCCGTGCATGCGTGCATGCTCAGTTGTATCCCACTCTTTGCAACCCCATAGTCTGTAGCCTTGCCAGGCTCCTCTGTCCAGGGATTCTCCAGTTAAGAATACTGGAGTGGGTTGCCATGCCCTCCTCCAGGGAATCTTTCCGACCCAGGGAATCGAATCCACACCTCTCACACCTCCTGCATTGGCAGGCGGGTTCTTTACCACTGGCCCCACCTGAGAAGCCCCTCCTCACAGGGTCCTCATTCTGAAAAAGGAAAGAGGCGATAAACAAGGCAACGTCTGACAAAATGTCCAGCGAGCGTGAGCCCTCCAAGGAAGGATACGGCAGGACTGGGGTGCAGTAGCACGGGGAGGGGGCCTCTTTGGGACAAGGCAGTAGGGAGGCCTCTGCAGGAGGAGATGGGGAGCAGAGCCTGAATGAAATGAAGGAATGAGTGGTGGGGGCCTGGAAGGGAGAAGAGAGCCGAGGGAGGACCTGCTAGGTCTCTCTAGACCAGCCAAGAGCCCATCCATCCAATTCCCCCTAGCAAATATGAGACCACCATCCTTACTACCAGCTAAGCACCGAAAAATGTCCCTCCAGGACTTACCTGCCAGTCCAGTGGTTAAGACTCCATGCATCCACTGCCGGGAGCATGAGTTTGACCCCTGGTCAGAGAAGAGACTGGACCAAAAAAAGAACCCAAAAAATCCCCCCTGCAGGAGTGAATTTGATGTGATTGTTCAAAGATGAGAATAGAATGACAAGTGGAAACCCAAACTTAGAAGAATATTAGAAAAAAGAAAGAAAGAATGAAAGAAAACATGGTGAGGAAGCATAGAGGGGATCTCTTGTTTATGGTGATGCTAGGTCAGTAGGAGAGTTGGAAATCTTCCTAGATGTGACTTTGTATTCGGAATGAAACATTTAAATTCCTTCTCCATTGAGGCCCCTTAATAATGTCTTCCGGGGTACTAAGTGACAGGGTTTCTGCTGACCCATGAACTGTTCGTGTTTCTCCAAACATAAGAGAGAGATTCCGATCCCTAATAAAGCCACTGTCCGCACCGTTCTGGCCACAGGAGCAGTGCTTCAGTGACCTCGGGGCCAAGTGCAAAGGGTCCCGACACGAGGAGGTCATCCAGCATCAGAAAAGGGCCTTGTCTGAGCTTCGTGCACGGATTAAAGAACTTGAGAAGGCCGGCTCCTCAAGTAAGTCCCCTCCTTCCTGGTGGCCCCTTCTGTGCTGAGCCGTGGGCCCCAGACTGCAGGGTTCCCTGTGGGGGCTGACCAGGATCATTGTCTTCTATTCTTATCATTTCATAAGTGAAAAGATGTAGTTTTTTAAAAAAAAAAAAGATGATGATGAGTTGGAGGCAGGGGGGGAGATGGGCATACATAATCTCAAAGTCAAGAGCAGGCCTTGATACTAAATAAACAGGATTTCATGAAAAACTCATAACATTGTCCTTCTTTTTCTTATTTCACTGTGGCCCAATGGAAACTTTTGCATAGACTGATGGTGTTCAAGGATCAGCCGTGGGGAACTTCCTAGATAAATACCCTGTTTAGAGGGAATGGGGCTCTCAAGAAACAGAGCTTGTTGCTGGGTGGAGCACTGAGCCAGGCCCTAGAAGCCTGGGTTCAAGTTCATCCTCCTACCTGTGGCCAAAGGTTCACCCTTGGTGCCTCAGCTGTGTGAGGCTGCAGCCTCATATTAGCTGTGTGACCTTGGACAAGTCATTTCACCTCTCTGGGCCTCAGATTGTGGGGGTTAGTACTGGCCCATGGTAAGCGTCCAGTTAACAGCAGCTGTGATTGTTTTTTTTTTTTTTTTACATCCAGTGACTTCTTCCTGAACCTTTCTTTTGAATCTAAATTATTTCTTTTTTCAGATCATAAGGACCACATGGATGAATCATTTCTAGACTTAAAGACTCTTGGGATGGAAAAAAACATCCAGAAAATATTGGATGTAAAACCTGATTTGCCAACTTTCTCAAAAGTAGAGATCCGAGTGGTAATTTGCCTCTGCAGTGACTGACGTGTGGTGAGGGTGGGCCTGAGGGCAGATCTGTCCAGGTGCCCTGGCATCACTGGTTCAGAGTCAGATCCTCCCTGTTAGCCTAGCATCTGTTATCAGCTGGTCATTGCCTAGCAGTACCAGTGGTCCAGTGTTTGAACAGCAAGGGGGCTTTCAAATGTGCATAGCAGGATGTATCATCACACTGATGTTGGCCAGGTCAATCTCTGGGCCCTCCTTTTCATATCATATGTTATATTCTGCAGAAAATATTCAACAAGCTATATAACATTACGCCATGAGTTTGCCTTAAATTTGCTTCTTTCTGTAAACTCAAAAACCCGAACACAGAAAAGGTAGCAGAAGGGAGCCATGATGATTAAGAAGACACGAAAGTTCTAGAATCAGAGACCTGCCTGTGTCCTAATCCCAGCTCTGCAAACCAAGTGACTTTGGCGGGCTCTTAACCTTTCTGGGACTCCATTTCCCAGCTGTAAAATGATGATGGAAAAATTAAAGGAGATAATTATGTAAAGTGCTTATCCCAGTGCCTAGCTCATAGTGAGCATTTAATAGATGATACTTGTGATTATTATTAAATAGTATTTCAATGGTATTCTTCAAGAAAGCCTTCCTTCCTTAGGGGGCTTAGTTTGATTTGCCCAGATTTGCAGAAGTAATTTGATTGTTAGATGGAAGGTGTTTGATTGGGCATTTGATTGACACATGACAGTGGACAGCTCAGGTTAACATTAATCAGAGAACCTGCTGGGCATGGTTTGCTGCCACAGCTGGATCCAAACCATCCTTGGGCTGTTGGAAGAAATAATTCAAATCATTCAATCTCATTTTTCTAGACATTTGCTAGACATGTGAATCTTCAGAAATGTGTTGCTTTGAGACTTCCCTGGCAGTCCAGTGGTTAAGACTTTGCCTTCCAATGCAGGGGGTGCAGTGTTTGCTCCTTTTTGGGGGAGATAGGATCCCACATGCCTCAGGGCTAAAAAAAAACCCCATAAAAACAGAAGCAATATTATAACAAATTCAATAAAGTCTTTTTAAAAATGATCCACATCAAAAAAAATGACCCACATCAAAACAATATTTTTTAAAAAAGAATGAAAGAAAGAAAGGTGTTGGTTTTCCTGCTAAGAGCAAACCCTCCTCTGAGAGTGGAAAGGGAGGGACCATCTCCAGGTGGGGAGCTCAGCTGGATCCCATTCCTGATCCTGCTTCCAAGATTTGCCTTCTCCCTGGCAACAACCCCTCATCCCACCACTGACACCACAGAACAGGAAACCTCCAAGGCTGGCAATAATTAAAAGGAGAGAAGGAGCAGGAGAAAGAATAGCTGAGCAAAGGCAACAGGATTCCTGTTTTTCTGATGCTTATCTTCTCAGCCTCAGTGCTACTGATTTTTTGAGCCAGGTAACTCTTTGCTTGGGGGACTATCCTGTGTGTCACTGGGTGTTTGGCAGCATCCTTGTCCTCCACCCACTGAACATCAGTAGCAGTCGTGATGACCACCAGCGTGTCCAGGCATTGCTAAATGTCCTTGATCAAGGGAGAGTGGACAGAATCATCCCCGGTTGAGAACCACTGGTCTAGAGGGCAGACATACAATGACCAAAGAACGGGACTAATGATGTGTTATTTCAAGAAGAGTTATGCTCTTAAGGGATAGGAACAGAGCTGTAAGAAAGCAGTTCACAGAGGAATCAGACTGGAATAAAAAACAGCTAGAAGGGGACGACAGAGAAGGAGATGGCTGGAGGGCAGCATCGAATCAATGGACATGAATCTGGCAAACTCCAGGAGACAGTGAAGGATAGGCAAGCCTGGAGCTCTGTAGTCCACGAGGTTGCAGAGTTAGACATGACTTAGTGACTGAGCAACAACAACTGTCAAGTTATTCTCTAGTAACTTTCCGGTTCTTCGGTTATTCTTTGGGTTATTCTTCTGGATGTAGAAGATCATGATGGAATACCAAGAGAGAGTTTTCATTTCTTTTTTTATTTCAGCCTCAAAATGGCCTTTCCAGCCCAGGGTCCGTCATGGCCACCGATAAATTAGGGAAAACAGACGCAGCTGAGGCTCTGGATCTCAGTGAAAGGCTGGTAGGTACACCCAGCATCAGTCCCTCTCCTGTCCAAACCTGCAACCCCCTCAGGCAGTGTTAACCACCAGATAGCCTAACTAAACGTCAACCCTACATAGGTATTTAGTCGTTATTACAGCTCCGCGAGACCCATTTACTATCCCAGCATGGGTTGGAAATTGCAGAGTTGAATTCCTTGGAAAACTGGGTAGCAAGAATAAATGTTTCTATCTGTTGTCATTTTCCCCCTGGTTCTCAAAAAGGCATAGCGTAAATGGATGCGAGGAACATGAAAGTCGGATTAAAAGCCCCAATTGTACTCCTTTCCAAAGCATGTGTTCTCTGTGATTGCAGAAAATTAATGAAACAGAATTAGACACTTGCCTCCTTATTAAAGGGCTTCCCAGGTGGCTCGGTGGTAAAGAATCTGCCTGCCAGTGCAGGAGATGCAGGTTTGATCTCTGGGTTGGGAAGATCCCCTGGAGGAGGGCATGACAACCCACTCCAGTATTCTTGCCTGGGAAATCACATGGACAGAGGAGCCTGGCGGGTACAGTCCATAGGATCACAGAGAGTCAGACACCACTGAGTGAACACAGCACACACACTCCTTATTAAAGCAGCTGCCAGTGGAGGTGGGCCAAGCCTCTTACCTGCGAAACGCTTTCTCGTAGTACATGGATATGAGCAAAACACTCGGGAGTCTGATGAACATCAAAGATATGTCAGGTCACGTGTCTATGAAACACCTGTCCCCTAAAGAGAGGGAGAGAGTCAACCAGCTTCGACAAAGAGACCTCGATATGGTGTTTGATAAGATCACCCAACTCAAGAACCGGCTGGAGAGAAAAGAGGAGCTTTTGAGAGGCTACGAGAAAGACATTGAACAGCTCAGGTAGGGCCCACGTCCCCACAGAAAGGCCCAGACCTCCATTCTCCAGGCTAAACCTCAGAGCAGCAGCAGACCTCTGGACCAAGACAGGAGGACAGAGGTCTGGGTGTGGGGTGTGCAGGGGAGGCGGGATCATGACTCAGGGTCTGATGGAAGCAAGTCCTCTGGGCCAGAAAGCAGCAGTTAAAGTGCCCTATACTCTCTTAACGGTAAGGTGCACCTTTTATGAATGTATCTGGTATTTCACCATGTGTGTGCTTTTCATAATTCCATCTTATTTTCAGTAGTATCAGTTCCCTGACCCTCCCTGGGAAATTGGGAGGGGCTGGTAATATAACCTGTGTCAGCTTCATGCCATACTTACACAGCCCACGAGCTATTTATTCTGCCCTCTAGTCCCCAAACTTCATCATTCTCTCTAACTTGTAATGAAGCTGCTAAGTTAGGCATACACAAAAGTATCTTGAGAATCTCCCAGGCAGGGGCATTGCTGGTAAGTGAGAAAGATGAGGGGAAAAGAGACTTTGTCTCTCCCATGTGCTCAGGCAGAGCAAAGTGTCGGTTCAGATGTACCAGTCACAGGTGGCCAAGCTGGAAGACGACATCTACAAAGAGACGGAAGAGAAGGCTCTGCTCAAGGAGGCCTTGGAGCGCATGGAGCAGCGGTTGCACCAGGAGAAGAGGGTCAACAGGGCGATCAGGCAGCAGAAGGTGAGTGGTGCCTGCTTGGAGCAGTCTCTAAGGCTGCCCCTCAGCCCCCTTTAGAAATGGGCAGCTGAGGTCCCAGTGGGATCTAGGCAGTGCAGGATGCATTTACTGATGCAAAGGAAAGGGGCAGAATAGCTTTAGCATCAGACAGACCTAAGTTTAGACTGTAGCTCTTCCATTTACTGTGTGCCTTCAGGCAGGTTTCTTAACCACTCTGAGACTCAGAGTCTAGCTTGTCTGTATTTTCTTTCTTTCTTTTTAATTTAATTTTTAATTTTGTGTTGGAGTAGAGCTGATTTACAATTTTGTGTTAGTTTCAGGTGCAGAGCAAAGTGATTCAGTTATACATATACATGTATCCATTCTTTTTCAGATTCTTTTCCCAGATAGGTTATTATAGAATATTGAGCAGCATTCCCTGTGCTATATAGTAGGTCTTTGTTGATTATCTGTTTTATGTATGGTAGTGTGTATGTGTTAATTCCAAATGCCTAATTCATCCCCCCTCCACCTTTTCCCTTTGATAACTGTAAGTTTGTTTTCAAACTGTGTCTGTTTTTGTTTTATAAATAAGCTCACTTGTATCAGTTTTTTAGACTCCACATATAAATGATATCATATGATACTCGCCTTTCTCATCTGCCTTACTTCACTTAGTATGATACTTTCTAGGTCCATCTATGTTGCTGCAAATGGCATTATTTCATTCTTTTTATGGCTGAGTAACATTCCATTGTATATATGTACCACATCTTCTTTATCCATTCCTCTGTCGGTGGACATTTAGGCTGCTTCCATGTCTTGACTGCTATAAGCAGTGCTCTCTGAGACTCATAGTCTAGCTTGTCTGTGTTTTTTTTAACTTTTAACAATTCATGTATTTTATCTTGTTCCTTCTATTCAGATAACTATTTTTCTGCCAGTTTTATTGAGATGTAATTGACACTTGTATTGAGTTTAAGGTATACAGCATAATGATTTGACTTCCAAGCCACATGAAGTAATTGCCACAATAAGCTTAGCAAATGTCCTGAGTTTTTTAAAGTGGTGTCTATTGTTCTTACTTTCATTGTTCTGCCAGGTGCAAGGGATACACAGATGAATAAGTTCTCTGAGAATAAAGATTTTCAATTTGCTATTCTGAGTACCCAGAGAATAGTAGACACCAAATAAATACTTGGTACATGGATGGATGGATGGATGAACAGGTGGATGGATGGATGGATGGGTGGATGGAAGGACAGGTGGATGGATGGATGGATGAACACCAGATCAATGGATCAGTAGGTGTTCAGGTAGATGGATGGTCAGGTGAATAGAGGTAGATGAATGTCCTTGAAGGACATATTTTTCAGTGCAGAACATACAGGTAAAGAGCTGATTTCAGTCTGACTTAGTGGGGTAAGGGCTGTGTTCAGATCCAGAGAAGGGTACTTGGCTCAGTCTAGAGCATTCAGGGAGTGTTTTCCAAGTGCTGGCATTTGTTATGAATTGCAAAGGAGAGTTGGAGTTTGTCCACCAAACGGATGGACAGGTGTGCATTCAAGGCTGTGGGAGCCACAGAGGAAAGGCATGAGGAGGAGGGATTGCTTCCTGGCATGAACTTGGTGAGAGCATTGACTTGAGAGACCGAGACTGAGACTCAGGCTGATGATCCAGCTAAAAGAGGCCACCTCCTCCCCTCATCCTGCTATCTCATCTATCACATGGCACAAGACTCAGTGAGTCCTGGGGTCAAATCCCCCTGCTTACTGTGTGATCTTGTGCAAATCAGTCCCCCTCTCTGAGCCTCACTTTCCTCATCAGTGAATGGGAGATAAGAGCACCTGCCTTGCAGGATTGTTGTGAGGATTGAATACAACACAGGTAACCCTTCCTATCCAAGCTCTCACTGTCTGAACTCAGGACCAAACGGTTTCCAATGCCCAGGTACACCTGTCCAGGCTCTGAAGCATGCAGCTCAGGGCCTGGGACTCGGCAGGTGGATGCGGCTCTCTTCCCTGTGGCCAGCTGACTGCACAGGTGGTCTCTGAAGTGAGTGCTGCCCCAGACCCAGTAGAGTCTGCTGCCAAAAGTCCCCACACACATCGAGACAGGCATGGGCAGCACCTGAAAACTAGCTCCAGAAGCTTGCTGTAACCCTGTGCCTGCACTGCAGTCAGTAGTGGGGTCTCTGGTCTTCTTGGCAGTTAACACCCATGACCGTCCACTCCTATTGGCAGCAGCATGTCACTAGCCCCACTGGGCACTGGCACAGCGACTGCTAAATAGATCAAACTCTCCCTGGTCCTTCACTCTCACCTAAGGTCGAGCAGATCTCCAGGAAGGCATCAGGCAAACAGGGGAAAATCACCATAACCCCCATCTCTTCATGATATCTGCAGGCATTGGGCTCCACTCATGCTATGCAGCCATGATCAGGGTTATTAATGCCTCTGGTAGCCCTGCCTGGTTGTCATGATGATCCCCATTTTACAGATGAGGAAACTGAGGCTCAAAGAATTAATAAAGAGACTTGTTCAAGTTCATAGAGTAGCTGGTAGTTCACAGAGTCTTTAGTCGCTCAGTCATGTCTGACTGTTTGTAGCCCATGGACTGCAGCCCGCCAGGCTCCTCGGCCCATGGGATTTCCTAGGCAAAAATACTGGAGTAGATTGCCATTTCCTTCTCCAGGGGATCTTCCTGACTCAGGGATCGAGCCCAGGTCTCCTGCATTGCAGACAGATTCTTTACTGTCTGAGCTACCAAGGAAGTCCCAAGTAGAGCCTTTACCCAGCCCCATATCTCTCTTGTCCTAGGTCATGCCTTCTTTGCTGGTCTGGCTCCCAGTCGCCTCCTTGTACCTATTAGTCTTTCTAACTTGGAGCTGTGTATTTTTGCACGCATGCTTGTGTGTGTGCCTGTGAGTATGTGCTGTGTGTTTATATGTGTGTGTATTTGTGTGTGAGTGTGTTGCCTACATGAGCTCTAAGGAGGCCAGGCCTTAGAAGGTCATAGAAGGATGTCCTTCTCAACCAAGAGGTGATAGTCAGATGAGTTCCTTGCAGAAGGCTGCCCCCCATTCTGCAAACTTTCCAGGCAGGAGGTTTCCAGACAGCAGGCTCTCTGGCTCATAGCCCCAAAAATGAAAGTGGCTGTCCTGCTCTGAGGGAGCCCGGATGTGATGTTTCTAGGGCTCACCCTTCTGAATTAAACATCACAGACCTCAGTCTGCCTGTGTTATGGGGCTGCCTCAGGCAGAGGACAGTTTCCTTTCACACCAAGCAATGCCAGGGAGAGCTGGGCCACTGACAGAGTTCTGACTTTCCCTTTGATGTGCCCTCTGGAGAGCTCACCCCTCCCTGAGGCATCCCCCGACCCCCAGGGCTTGGCAGGCCCCAGAGCAGAGACACCAGACCACAGAATGGGACAGCAAATGACCCAAAAAAGGCCATTGTCATGTACTGAAAACCTGAGGATTTACATAATTAGGCTTCACATGCATTATTCATGGGCTGCCTCGTTCATACACAATGCAGGGGACGTGCCAGCCTGTTTGGCACTAGACATCCTTCAGCAGAGAAGGGTCTGAAATGGCCAAGCTGAAACTGTGTCAGGGTCCCCAGAAGAGCTAGAGCTGGGAGCTTTCTAATTTGTGAAATTCACAGTTGGAGGAAAGATGTACATGAACAACAACCACAATCATGGCATTGCCAACGATATCATTTACTGAGCACTTTAAGTATCATTTACTTTACTTTATCAGGGCAGGGCAGGCACCTGCTCCACACAGTACAGGCTTCATCTCTCCCATCAACCCCACAAGGGAAGCTGGTGAGCATCAGCCCACTCGAGAGAGGGGAGGGCTGAGTTGACAGAGGGTGCCACTCCCTGGCTGTCAGCTGCAGAAACAGGATTCCCTCCCAGCTGCTGCCCTCTCCAGCCCACCTTCACTTTCCCACACCCCTTCCTTCTGCATCTCCCTTACCCGGGTGCCTGCTTCCTATGTCTCTCACCATTGCTCCTGGAGTATTCACTCCAGGACTTGGGTTTGCATTTGAGGCTTCTTATTACTATGTCATCAGAAATCCCTGTTTGTCAGGAAGAAAAAATAATAAACTTTACAGTTTTGCTGGATTCTAAAGGGCACATGTATACATTCGTGTTGGCATCAGTTCCTTCCAGGGAGTATGTCTTCATTGTTTTTAAGTGGAAATTAACAGAAAATAGAATTCCTCTTTCATAAGTTTTACACTTAGTATTTTCACAAGGAGCCTTAATTTTTAGCCTCCTGTACAAAACTTTGAAACTGTTCACCCTGTTCATTGAGCTCATGGGGTTGAAGCACTGAGAGATGAAATTAACACATCTGAAGTTTCAGCATCCACTCCCCACCCCCACCCCCAAAAATGCAGTTTGTCATCTTAAATGTTTGACCGTGTCTTCACTAAGCAGCACCTTCCAGAATCAGAAGTTGTATTTCCACACTAATACCTCTGGCTGTGAACATGAGACTTGACATGAAAGGCTAGGCATTCACAGAGAACCCTGATTCTGTGGCTCTCTCCACGTGGCAGAGAGAAGGAACCCTGGCCCAGGCTGAACTCACACTAATCCACGTCCAAGTCACTCAAGAAGGCCGCATTGTCTCTCAGAGGTCAGAGGTCAGCGGCGGAATCTAACAAACAGCGGCCCAGCCCCGCCCCTGCCCCCAGTGACCCTTGAGCAGGTGGCTTGACCTCTGTATCTCAGGCTCCTCAACCAAAACAACCAAAGGTGGTAACAAGAGGCCCACTCAGTGGGGCAGCGGGAGGGTTAAATGGCAAAATGCCCACAGTGCCTGGCACACGGCAAGCCCCGTTTCTAAGGGGGAAGAATAGACAGCCCATGGATGGGTGGGGATTCCTGCATTTCTTTCAGGGAGCTTCCTGCCAGCTGACGCCCTCCCTGGTCCTCCCAAAGCCGGCAGCTCTTCTGTGACGCTCTTTTCTCCTCCGTGAATACCACTCGGGTCACAGCCAAGAAAGGACCCAGATACCTTTTGTGAATGGGCTAATGCTGGGGTTTTTCAATAGGAAAAATTTAAATGCACAGAAGTGGCCGTTTGAAAAGCACGCAAACCCTTTTACTTAGGGCTTGAAGTCTGAGAAAGGCTGAAGGGCACCGGCTGCTTCTGGCAGAAACCCGTTCAGCTCGCCTGCCAATCAAATCTCCAGCCAATGAAGTCCTGACTAGGGGGCGTGGCCACCGCTTTGCCTTAGACCTCAGCCCAGCCAGCGGGCGTGTGTGATTAAGTCGCTCAGTCGGGTCCCGCTCTTTGCGACCCCGTGGACTGTTAGCCCGTCAGGCTCCTCCGTCCATGGGATTATCCTGGCAAGAATATTGGAGTGGATTGCATTTTTTCCTCCAGGGGAATCTTCCTGACCCAGGGATCGAACCGGCGGCTCCTTCATTGGCAGACAGATTGCTTACCGCTGCGCCTCTTGGGAAGCTCCCTCCCTCAGCCAGACAGGAGCCCCCTAAAGTTCCTTCTGCTTAATTAGCTCACGTCCCTTCTTTTTAAGATGAGAATAAAAATGGCACCTAACTCAATAGCCTTGGATGAAATGGGAGGTTGCATACAAAACCAAAACCCTTAGTACATGAGACCACATAGGATACATGCTCACATGCCATCATGGTTATCCTCGCTCTTCTATTTAACTCACTGTTTTCCAGGATTTCCTTGGGCCCAGGTATTCTCAAGATCCTGGTTTCCTCAGCACCACTTGTGTGTTTTTAGCCAACAGGTAGAAATTGGTAGATGTTGTGTAGGAGCAGCGTGAGATGGGAGGGGCTTGTGGGTGGTGCTCTCCTGCCCACAGTGATGAAGTAGGGCAATGTGGCTAGGCTGGTGCAGCATACAGATAGAAGATGGCTCACGAAAAAGACCCTTCTGCCCACCAATCCCAGTGAATCCCAGCGTCTCCTAGCAACCTCAGAGGTGTGTCCCCAAATGGAACAGGTGGGGACACACGGAACACTGTCTTGCCCCCCTGATATTTTCACTTAGGAACGTTTAGAGGACCTCGAACAGAGAAATGCCAAAGAGTCAGCAGCTTGCAACTGTTCCTTCAAAGAGAAAGAGAGGCAGGTACAGAGACCCTTTCTGATCTTGCAGCCAGACACAAAGTAGATACCTTATTTTCAAAGGGCAAGAGCTTGTAAATGCCAGCGTGGGCAGCCCAAAAAACATTCCACCCTCCTCCACTCCCTTCCCCTGCCCCACCCCAGCCCCTGCCCCTGCCCCTTCTCCTGCCTGCAACCTGCACAAGGGACCTGAGAGACCCAGGATCTGGAAGTGAGAGAAGGCAGAAGGGCAGCGCAGCCATCCTGGGTGCTAAATGATTTGGGGACATAGAGACAAAACCATAAGAAAAGAAGAAGGTAGGAGTGAGAAATCCCAGAAACCTCTGCCCTAAGAATGGAGTATAGTAGATGGAAGAAGGCGGGGATGGTACAAAATGAAGCCAGAAATAAGGATGAAGGTACCTGTTACAACACCTCCTCACCTGCCAAAGGGGAGCCCCATTCAACAGTGGGCTCTCTGGCAGCTGATGGGAAATGGAAAACCCAGCATGGTCCAGAGTTTACTGTGTCCATGAGATATGAGTGTGATCCTCAGAAGTGTGCCTAGAACAAAGACCGTTCTGGATTCTCCTCCAGAGAGGACGTTGTGTGCTGTAATGAACAACACCCCTAAGAATAGCAGTGCAGTGCTAGCTGGGTCATGGCTGTGCACAGCTCTTGAGAAAGACTGATGACATCATATCCCAGTGAGTCCAGGAAAAGCGTGTGCACATGGGCCAGGCTCTGCCCTTCCGTGCCCAGCCATCCACTGATTGGACTTAACCAAAAAGGATATTTCAGAGCAGTGTTCAAACTGGGGTTCCTTGGAGCCCTTGGGTGCCGTGGGAAGGGTATGACTCTCAACACACACACACCTCTCCCACAAGAGAAGCTCTCCGTTATCTATTTTATACCCCAAGTTCCTCTTGGAATTTTGCTTGGATAAAAGGTTTAGGGGAAAAAAGGTAGGGGTGGGATGGGAAGGAAGGAGGTTGTTGACTAAATACCACTGCTTTATAATATCTGGAAATTTGGATGGTGACTGCCTCAACTGAGTTTGTGATAAATATTTAGTGGCTGCAGGCTCAAGGCCTGCTCCATGAAAAATGCCTGGAGGACAACTATCTGTTCGGTATGGGCGCATAAGCCTTCATGGACAATCCTCTAAGGGCTCGAGAGTTAGCATCCTTCAGGGAGAATGGAAGAGACTTACTAGTACCTATGACCTGTCCCAAAAGATGGCCTTACTTCCTCCATGAATTTTATGAATGTTCAGTAGCATTGCCAGATTTGGGGTGGGGGGGGGGGCAGAAACAGCATGCTCAGGATGTGTTAAATTTTAATTGCAGATAACAACAAACAGTTATTAAGTATAAATATATCCTAAATATTGCACGGGGGCATACTCATAGTAAAAAGTATTTTGGTTTCATTCTGAAATTCAAATTGAACTGAGAATCCTATATTTTATCTGACAACCCCTCCAACACTTACTGAGCACCAGCTAGACACCAGGCAGGGAGGTTCTGAAGCAGGTGTTGCAAGACGGCAGCCCACAGACATATTTCATTTGACTCATGGGATTTTTTGGGGGGTACATTTCAAAGTAGGGCAGTTTAACAGAATACTTCAGATTTCCAACTTCTCTGGGAAACTTGCAAGATCTGAGGACACTAGGCCCACAATCCCACGAGTCACCATCACAAGCCTCCATCTTCCAGGCCCCTCAGGCGCTGGGCTCGTGGACTTGCTGCCACCCCTCCTCTGGCTCACCTCACCCACTTCCTTTACTTCCCTGGCCCCTGTAGGAATCAGGTTGGTGACCCCAGTTGACGCCCAGGGCTCTCTGAGAAAGTCTCCTCCTGACACCCCTACACGTTCACCTGCAGGATGTCGGTCTGCAAGGGGCACCCCAGTTCCCTCTCCCTTTGGTGTCTCCAGTGTCTTGGGGATGCTCTTTCTTTGATGAACTGTCCCTGAGGTGCGGACCCTTGAGCAGATCAGGGCAACAATAGTAATCAAACCCCAGAGGAGTGGCAAGCTCCAGATTCTCGGTGATGGCTTCCCAACAGGCCCCCAAAGTCCCTGCCAGGGAGGTTAACCTCTGGGGTTTTTGTCATGCCTAGGCCATTGGGTGGAAACCGCTGGACATGTACAGCCTCTTCTAGTGACCTGGAAGGCTGTGCTTCTACCTAAAGCAGATCTGTCCTCCAAGGAGAATATAGCATCCTTCATAGCCTTCTTGGTTGACCCATCTCCTTCTCTACTGGAATCTGGGACAGAGATCTCTAAGAGGTTCAGCAGGACAGTGTAGCATTGCCCCAAAGCCACACCCCATTCTACAGACACCGCCCCATCCTTACCCACTCCCTCTTCTGCAGACCCTCATCCTCACGTCCTCACCTAGGAAGGCTCAACATTTCATCCAAATGGGTGGCATCCAAAAGTTGAGAAAAATCTGGTTTTCTTTGATGCAAAAGGAAAAGCAGAACATAAGCTAAAATTTGTCAATATTTTTTCTGTGTTAAAGAGACGAATGTTTGTAGAGGCGGTGAAGAACAAGATGCAGAACTCAAATTTCCAGGTGAGCCAGGAGAGGAGAGAAGAGAGAAAACCATAGAACATCAGCAGGAAGCCCAGTTGACAGTAACACTGTGTCTGTTGTGTCCTGAGCATTTAGCATGTGCCATGCACACAGAGCTAAGCACTGGACCTGCAGTATCTCATTTAAGCTTCACAACAACCCTGTGGGGGGTAGGTTTTGTTATTATACCCAATTCTCAGATGAGGTGTCTGAGGCTTAGAGACTATTCATCCAGAGCCACACTGCTAAGTAGGAGACATCTGACACCCAGGTGAGAGTGCTGGCTTTTCTTCCTTGAGGTTATAAACTTCCAGGTAATAAAACTGATAACACTTCCAATGGTATTTCTCTTGAATTTCACAGAAGCATCCTCTAAAATTCTTTTAAAAGTCAAGAATTAAGACTTTGAAATCTTGAGCATGTTGAAACATTGCCATTGACAAATCAGCCCTGGAACTGGAATTAAGCCAATCCACATTCCCACTTTGCAGAAAGTAGAGGCGAGCTCTCAGGAAGCTTGAAAACTCAACACATTTTGGTTGAATAAGAGAGAAGAGACATATTAAAGTTTGATAAAAGGCCACAGTCATTCTGAAGCAACCAAATTATCATGGGTAGAAGAAACAAAGATATTCTAGGTGAGGGATATATTTGGAAAATGGAAGCTTCTTCTCAACCAGCATCCTTGTTCTAAGGCCAGAAGATGTTTACTGTCCCAGAGCAGGACATTAAAATGACAGAGAGCGTCCTGGGGGCCCCCATGGATCTGAGACCTTTGCCACCCTGCCAAGTGTAAATTTTGGGAAGTTTGTCACTTATTCATTCACATATACAACTGAAGCGGAGGAGGAAGAAAGAGCCCTAAGCTAGGTTTTGTCTGAGGACCACCTGGGGATGTAAAATGACAGAGAGGATATTGACATGGGTCCCAGGTGTTGTGGGAACACTGCTTCTCTGAGATATGAGACCCCCTGGCATCTCACGCTGTCTTTGGCTTTAACAGAATAGGGGCAAATGGTGCTTTGGCTGAGAGCAAAGAGCCAGCTTCCCATTTTCCTTGCACTCCAGCCCCAGCTTAGAAGTTGGTGTCTGAGAGCTCCTTGGTACAGACAGGTTTCCTCCAGGTCCCCTGCCAAGTGTAGCTCGGGCGCCTCCTTCCTCCAGAGTGGACCTGGAGTCCAGGGGATGGAGTCCCCAGGACCACACTGATGAAGATGGGACGTGTAAAGTCTGCTCTCAGTCTCGCATAAGAGACTCCCAGAGTGCCTCAGCCTTTCTCATAGCAGAGTCTCCATCTCTAGTACACTTCAGAACTAGCACATTCTTCCTTTTTAAGATCCTATGGAATTCATATCGATTTTATTTTTCCTCTGCAGCTAACAGTCTTCTATAGTTGTCAATCATATGCTAAAGGGGAAAATCTTCTAGTTAATAAATTGAATACCTAGTCTAGGCCACATACTGTGCTAGGAACTGGGGACAGACAAATGAACAAAGAGATACGATCCCAGCCTTCATTCATTCAACGAATATTTGTTGAGAGGCCTGCGATATGGCAGGTAATGTTCAGGTGTTAGGATTCAATCCCATTCTCAGTGGCAGCAATACCACCCCCGAGAGGGCATAACTCTACTTTTTTAATGTATAAAGCACAGAAATACACACAGTGCTATCTGTAATAATCATATTTCATGGAGGTGAGAACTTCCCAGGTGGCTCGGCGGTGAAGAATCTGCCTGCAATGCAAGAGATGCGGATTTGATCCCTGGGCTGGGGAGACCCCTGTAGAAGGAAATGGCAGCCCACTCCAATGTTCCCTGGGAAATCCCATGGACAGAAGAGCCTGGTGGGCTACAGTCCATGGAATCTCAAAAGAGCTGGACACGACTTAGCAGCTAAACAACAAAAGCGATTAGGAAAAAAATGTCTAAGAAGGCTCTTTAAGGAAAAGGATGATAGTGAAAAAAAGAGTGAGAAATGCCGGGTTAGATCAGTGAAGAAACATGTAAAAACCCCAGTCTTTCATGGCTTTTCATTCTGGGGCAAATAAATAAGCAAATATTGGGTTGGATGAAAAGTTAATTCGGGTTTTACCATTAAAATGTTATGGGAAAACCCAGATGAACTTTTTGACCAACCCAGTACTTTCTGTTGTTCCTGAGCTCAGGAACACTTTCTACAGAGACCTCTCCATCCCCCTCCCCAGTCCAAGGACCAGGAGAGGCCTCCCTGAAGTAGGGATGTTGAAAACCAAGACCTGAGGTGGTATGAGAATGAACTTTGTGCCCAGATCTGCCACTTCAGTATGCCCTGAGTTAATTCCCAGTTAATTTCCAAATTTCCAATTTAAATGTCCTTATTTAAATGACAGGCTCCTATCCTGGTCTTCTTCTAAGGATGAGCAGGGAATGTGATTCCAAACATGCAGGATGAACGCCTGTTGCTGCCTGAGGTCCCTGGCTCGGGACAGACCCAGCCAGGCTCCCCCCACCTCTCAGGCCCACACTTGAATTTTCACATTTCCCATTCCTCACCCCTTCCTTTTCCCAGTTCAGCCATCCCCTCTGCCTTTTGCTGTCCCCGACCTCATCACTCAAAAGAGTGGACCAAAGCTTGCTCTGTGGTGCTTCCCACCCCAAGCTCATGGCAGACCTGGGACTTGGAGGAACCTGGGACTAAGGAATCTTCATTTTTAACAAACACCCAGGCTCTTGCTCCAACAGCCAACCCCACACCAGGTCAGGGCACTGGCCCTGGGAACCCATCCAATTTTATTGAAAATCAAACTAAAAGGGATACAAAGGAAAACTGGTTTTGAGGCAAAAGATTTTCAACATTTGCTGCCTGTTTTCCTTTTATCTGGGCATTCCCACCAATATTTACTCTGTGGGCTACTGTAGAGATGTTAGCCCATCTCACCCTGAAATGTTTTCCTGCAATGATTTTGAAAGCAATCTCAACCTGCAATGATTTTGAAAGCAATCTCAAAGCACACTTCAAGGTTCCTGGCAGCCACCGGCATAGGTCAGGCACAGAACGTGATTTTTAAGCCTGTCTTAAAGTGAAAAGAGTTACAGAGATGGTCTTACCAGCCCCTTCCATTTAAATAAACCCAGAACCTCCTCTCAACCCCCAAGGAAGACAGGACATTCTGGCCCCTATCTGACAGATGAGGAGACCAAGGATCATGCTTTCAGAGACAGAGCTGAAACTTGACTACCTGTAGGCCTGCAGGCCCTCTTTCCCCAGGAGCATGAGTTGGAGTCAAAAAAATTGCAGGAAGTAGGGCTGGTGATGTGAAGCCTGTTGGAAAGAAACTTGCAAATTACAATCATATCTACAGTATAAACAGAACCATGTGAGAGAGAGATTCTTGGGTTGCAATGAATAGAAACCTATTCAGAAAGAGGGAGGGGGCTTTTTAAGGATGTAAGAGTGAGTGCCTCATAAATACTGAGAGCTGAGAGAGAGCCTGGCCTCAAAAGAGAACTGGGAGGCCATCATCTCCCAAGCATCATCTCTCATACACAACACACACAGAGAGCTCATATCACCTCTCTGTGTCTAAATCTCCCCTGATCTCTTCTATCGCTGGTCATGTGATAAAAAGGGATGACCTCATAGTCCCCCAGTTCAAAGAACCAGCTCAGATAGTAAGTAGCATCATAAAGCCCATAATCCTAAATCCTGGGAGTGACCATCTGAAAAGCTGAGCCAGTGCCAAAGTGCCCGATCAGCTAAGACCAGGGACAGAGTCATATTTATGACTGCCCCCAAGCCAGGGGCAGTGCTTAGAATAGGGTTAGACAGACTCCCCTTGAATATTCTGCATTTTCTCCTCCTAAGACATTAGAGACAAGACATTCAGTTTAGTGACAGCTTTTCGAGAGAAAGTCCATCCCAATGAATGTGCCCATAATCAGAAACTCCTGGTTTCAAAAAACAAAAGAAAGAAAATATAAGAGAAAGCGTTATCTGTATATCTGGAAGGGAGTACACTGGAATGTCAATAAGGTTACCTGTGAGTAGTGTGAGAATGATGGATTATTTTAGCTTCTTTTTGCACACATCTATGTCTGTATATAATTTCTTTTTTACAAATACTTTATTTTGAGCAAAAAAGCCCATTTGAATGGTATATTTGGGGATCTCCTTCAAATTGTCAAGTTTGTGCATTTGTTGCTCTTGTTGAAGGTTGGAGCTAGAAAAGTCATTGCAAAGATGGACCGAGAAAGAGAGATGCTAAAGAAAGAGATGTCCAGCAAGTCCAGCCAGAGCCTTCTGTTTTCTAAGCCTGGTGGAAGGAACTAGAAATATCATCCCGCCGGGTCTCACGAGATCCTCCTCTCTGAGTCAGAATCTTCTGCACCAAATCACAAAGACACTTTCTTAAGACTTAAAAGATTGTTACCCTGTGTGTTGCTTCCTAGACTGGTATTTTGCACAGAGCAATTTTTCAGAGTGTGTGGGGAGAGGGGCTCTTTTCACAGCTATCTACTAATATAAACGCACTCAGGCATGTGAAGAATTAGTTCGAAATTCTGACTCCTAGGCCCAGTAGATAAACTTATGTGTCTGGGTTGTGACATACCCAAATGTCAGACCTCCACGGAGCTCCAAGAAACCCACAGTTGAGAAAACCCAGGACATGTTACTGGGGCCACAGGACAGAAAGGTAACCTCAAGGGCTCCTGGGGCCATGGTATAGTGCATTTATATATGAATTTCTTATAATAAATTTGAACACCAACCTGTTTTTATCGCTTCCATAACAATGAGTCACATGTATATGGCACTCTGCAGTTTTCAAAACCCTTCTCATCTAATCTTCCTCCAAGCCCTGGGAGGTAAATAGTATTATATTCCCCATTTTACAAATGAGGAAGCTGAGGTCCAGAGAGGTTAAATGGCCCATCTAAAGTCACACAGCTAGGAAACTCAAGGGTTGGGTCTGGAACCCAGGTATTTAACTCCTGTCTCACACTGCCCATCCTGTCACAGCAGGATAAGTCCAGTAGTTCAAGCCACAGGCCATCAGGACAGGCCAACTACCCAATCACCAAAGGGCACACACTGCCCAGGTGGGCACACTCTTTTTCCATGGTATTTGGAGAGACTTTCATTTTTGCCCTCTCTGCAGCAATCTGTCCTCTCCCTGCCTTTCTTACATGGCCAAGACCACAAAATAAAATGGGAGGAACAACAGTAGTCATGAATATCACTATTTTTTTTAATTTTAAAAAGCCATAATAAAAATATTTTTGTATTTTAAAACCAAATGCATTCTTTATACTGATTAAAACTAGAAGAAAATAGGAAAAATTATTTGTGTAATATTCCACTAAAGGTACATCTTACACAGTGAGAAGGTACATCTTACACATGACCTTAAAAATAATCTTGAAGGGAATTCCCTCATGATCCAGTGGTAGGGCTCCATGCTTTCAAGGCAGGGGGTACGGGTTCAATCCCTGATCAGGGAACTAAGATCCCACATGCCTCATGGTAGTGCAGCCAAAAAAATAAAATAATTTTTTAAAAGAAGTTTTAAATTATTTTTAAAAAATACTAATAGTAATCTTGAAAACCCCAGTTTTCCATAAAGATATGATACTACTTATACTTCACCATATCCCCAAAATCCAAAAAGCAGTCTCCAGCACCAGAAAAGATCACTGGGTTAGACAGTAATTAAGAAGCTGGCTAATGTTTGGAAGCCAAATTGTGTGTGGGGGAAGAAATACTTAATTTGGTTGAACATGAATATTTGAATTTGCAGAAGTCAAATGTGATGCCTCTGTGACTCCACCGTATTTTAGGTCTCTCAAAGGACATGTTAATTTTATCATGTCAACTTTGCAACCCACGATGGTGATTTCCTTTCTTCACTCCTTGAACTAGATGGTTCTTTGGGTATCACCTTAGCCACATACCCCTTTCTCTGAGAATGCACACTGCCCCCCCAATCAGGCTTGCCCTCGCTAATGCTGCTCTCTTGGCCACAGCTGGTTGGCTGAGCAGTAGCTAGTCGACCCAAGCCAGACCAATCAGGTTTCACTTCTAACCCAAGCTGGGCCAATCAGCACCTCCACCCTTGGTATTGGAAGTAGGGCACAGGATCACCACGCAGGTCATTAGTGGTATGGGGCTGAGGTCTTGATGCAGTTCCCAGCTGGTGTGGCCATTTCTTCCACTGTGTTTGGAGAAACAAAGCCAGTCTGAAATGAAACAGCCATGATAGATAAACAAAAAGTGGAGACAAGAAACCAAGAGCACCAGAGAGACAGTGCAGTGGACACCACAAGCCCCTTAGTCATCGCCCCCCTCTACTGGATAGGCTGAAGGTTAAACACCTTCATTTCTCAGCTTCCCTTGCAGCTAGACCCAGCCATGTTGCCCAGTTATGGCCAATGACATGCAAGTGAAGGTCCTGGGCAGGGGCTTCCCATTTGGAATTAAAGGCAAGACTTTGCTAGGAGAGAGATTTTTCTCTTTGTCCCTTTGTCTTGTCTGCTTTATCTCTCCTGAAGCTCAGACTTGGACCTGGAGCAGCCATGCTGGGAATCACCAGGAAACAAGCAAGAGGCCAAAGCCCACCTCAAGGACAATGGAGTGGAAAGATATGAAAAGCCTGGGTGGGAGCCTGGTAACATCACTGTGCTGTATACCACAGTGTACAGAACAGCCTGCCTCTGTACATCCTGTTGTGTAAATAAATAAATCCCTCTCTGTTTAAGTCACTGTAGTCAGGTGTACCTGTGTGTGCTGTGGAGCAGACCACTTAAAATTTCTCAGTGTTAGTCACTCAGTCATGTCTGACTCTTTGTGACCACCGGTCTCCTCTGGCCATGGCATTCTCCAGGCAAGAACACTAGAATGGGTTTCCATTCCCTTCTCCAGGGGATCTTCCCAACCCAGAGATTAAACCTGGGTCTCCTGCATTGCAGGCAGACTCTTTACCATCTGAGAAACTTGCTGACTTACAATGGTGAACATTATTTCTCATGATTTCATGGGTCAAGCAGGACACATGTACTGGTCTGGGCTGGCCTGGCTGGAGCTGGATGGCTCTGGACGCCTCGTGTACATGCCTGGTCATTGACAGGCAAGTGGGTGAGGGCAGTGGTTCTCAATCAGGGGCGATTTTGTCACCCAGGGAATGTTGGGCAATATCTGGACACAACTTTGGTTGTTAAACTGGCATGGGGGGGTGCAACTATCTAGGGCAGTATTCCTCAACCTCTGGGATCTAATGCCTGATGATCTGAGGTAGGGAAGATGTAATAAAATTAGAAATAAAGTGTACAATAAATATAATGCACTTGAAATCATCCTGAAAACATCCCTCTGCCCCAGTCCATGGAATCTTCCATGAAACTGGTGCCTGGTGCCAAAAAAGGTGAGGACCGCTGATCTGGGGGTAGAGGCCAGGGATGCTGCTTAGCATCTCACAGTACACAGAACTGCTCCCCACAACAAAGACTTATTTGATTCAAAATGTTAACAGTACTGAGAATGAGAAACCCTGGTCTAGAAAGGCATCAGCTGGGATTTCTGTCTCTGCCTGGTGTGATCTCTCATTGCCCAGCAGGTCAGACCAAGCCACAGGTTCCCAAGAGCTGCAGGAGAGACCAAGCCCCAAAGCACACTTTTCAAGTCTCCACCTGCCTTGTGTTTGCCAATATGTCATCAGACAAAGCAAACTGCACACCAGGGTTCATCTGGGAGAGGCTGCACATTTTCACCTACCCACATCAAGGCTTCTGTTATTTAAAAGCTGAAAGCATTCCAACTGACACAGAAAGTTACCCTAATTCCTGATGACTTTCTGGTTCCTGGTTTCTTTCCTGGTAAAGGCCAGTTCTAGGGCCTGCCCTTGGGTTCCACTAGGACAGTGTATCACTCCTGTGGCTAACGTAAACAGAGAGGGAGCTTATCGAAAGGCAACAAGGTAGGTTAGAGAATCACAGGGTGAACAAAGCTGAGACGTCAGGACCATCAGGAGAAAAGTCAGGACTGTCAGGAACCAGCTCTTCTTTCCCATAGATGTCCTCTTTTTTTGCTTCAGCTGGTTTGAGTTTCTGTTACTGCAAACAAAATGGCCTTTATTAAGACACTCTTGGGACTTCCCTGGTGGTCCACTTGTTAGGTCATCACCTTCCAATGTGGAGGGTGCCAGTTCCATCCTTGTTCAGGGAGCTAGGATCACACATGCCTTGTGACTGAAAAACCAAAACATAAAACAGAAACAATACTGTAATAAATTCAATGAAGACTTTTTTTAAAAGACACTCTGGTACACGGCCCCCACTGGTAGCTCTGAGAAGCTCCCAGTGACATTTCCCCTGGGGTTGTTCCAAGGGACAACAAGGGACAGGCAGCTTCACCTTCCTCCCAGAGCTCCCAATCTCTGGTCCTTCCGAGAGGCTAAACCAAACAATTTCCTCCCACCCTTGCCAATGGCCACCCATTTGGATTCGTGACTTTGCAGAAAAGGTGCCCTTCTCCAGCAACTTGGCACAGCCAGCCATGCCTGCTGTTGTGGAAACCAGAGTCATGAAGTGTCTGCGGGAAAAAAACAGCTTCTGCCAGATCTGCATTCCCAAGTGTGTTCCTGGTAAATGGAGTGGTTTCTAATTTTCTAGGGTCTTAAGAATGAAAGCAATACACCGAGGATGATGAGAGGAAACCCAACACCTGCTCACGCTGATGCGCTTCTCTTTTCCATACTGAGGTTCCTAAAGCCTCTTTTCTGTACTGAGGTTAGGGTGCCCAGTGAGGGTAGACTATTTCAGCTTATCAGCTTGGCCTCATTTCCATCAAGATGCACTGCTTGCATTCATCTATTCAGTGTCCCGAGTTATTTTGGGCCCATTCATGACCTTATGTCCCTGCTTTTGTTTTTAAACATTTTTCTTTGTCCATCTGTTCCCTAGGAATCCATCACAATGCCTCCTTCCTGCAGTGGGAAGCATTAGCAGATTCCTTGTTTTGACTTTACTCTCATAATGCTTTCATTCCTAAGACCCTAAGAAATTGGAGGCAGAAATTTTATCTTCTGGCTCACCGTGGTCTAATCATCAGAGGTACTCTATTCGGATCAATCACTTTTATGGTTAAACAACCAGCCTTCATTCATTCAGGCAACAAATGCTGGGTACCTACTATGAACCTGATGCAAAGAACTGACTCATTGGAAAAGACCCTGATTCTGGGAAGGAATGAAGGCAGGAGAGAAGAAGGGGATGGCAGAGGATGAGATGGTTGGATGGCATTGCCGACTCGATGGACACGAGTTTGAGCAAGCTCCGGGAGTTGGTGATGGACAGGGAAGCCTGGCGTGCTGCAGTCCATGGGGTTGCAAAGAGTCAGACACGACTGATCGACTGAACTGACTGACTGTGCACCAGGTACTAATGATACTGTGCTAGATCTCGTAGCCTACACCTCTGCTCCCCTGTCTTCTCACCATCTGACCCGCTGCTCACCTGAGGAGTGGAATCGTTCATTTAGTGGGTGTGTTGCCTGGGAGAGCTCACCTGTGACATTCCCATCCTCTTTTTTGGCTTTCTATGAGATTCCTGCTGGGCCTTCTCTAGAGAGAGCTGCACACAGCAGTTACCCTTTTCTGGAAGTTTCTTTGTGCCTTTCAACAATTGAATTTTAATAGCTAATAATTGCAAACTTGTTATAGCATCCTTGCCAGCCATCAGATCCTGCGCTAAGCACAGCCCAGACATTATCCCTCCAGTCCTCGCTGTGTATATCACTCCTATTTCACATGTGAAAACAATAAGAAATAAGTTACTTGCCCAAGAGAAAAAGCCTCAGAGCTCAGACTTCACACGCAACTGCCCCAATGTAGCGCTTTCCTCAGTGAAGTCCAGGAACCAGCTTGTTATCTACTGGTCACTGAAGATCAGGTTGGCAAATTTTTCTATAAAGGGCCATTTCCCTTTATGAATGGGACAGTGTCATGACTACTCAACTCTGCCTTTGTAGCATAACTGAACAAATGAGCATGGCTGTGTCCCAATAAAAACTTTATTTATAAAGATAGGCAGGGGGCCAGATGTGCCAGACCCATGTTAGACACTTACCCAGACTACATTGTTAACATCTGCACAGCTATTGCCTGCCACATAACTACCAGGAAGCCAGTTTATCAACATCTCCATCACTGAGAGCATCTGGAGCTTTTACTATGAACCATGCACTTCACTAAACACTTCACATAAATTTTCTCATTTAATCCTCTCAAGTACTCCAGGAGAAGAGATCCATTGCCATTTATAGACAATGCAACTGAGGCCTCTAGAAAGGTAAAACAGGCTGCCCTAGGTCACCCCAAAGGGATTTTCAGATCCAGATCCTAACCATGATGCAACACTGCCTTTCACCATCACAGCCCTGCATCTGAACAATAGGAAGCTTCACAAGTGAATCAGAAGAACTGCCTTCCACCGAACCAAGCTTGAAGGAAATAAGACTTCATGACAAGCCCCTTCCTCTTGGCATCCTGGCTTACTCGCCCCTTCTCAGAGTCCCCTAATTTCTTTAGTTACTACCTGAGTTCAGGTGTCCCTGGCCTGGGCACTGTGCTCTCTCTTTCAACCAACTTCGCCTGCCTCGGCCTTGTGCTAATTTGACAACCTGCTTTCCAGTTTCCCAAATCCTCATGTTCCCCTGCAGCGGCCACATGCACTGTTTACCTCTACTCTCCTTCTATTCCTTCCAGCTTGTCTGCTGAGCGGAGAGCTCTAAATGATCTCTGGGCCGTATCGATGCCCAAGGACCAGCAGGTCACCGGGCCACAATCCCTATCTGATGCTGCTGATGCTGTCCTCCGAGGAGCAGGGGACAGATACTTGAGAGGTTTGTTATCCGAGAGATCCTGTTAACTTTGTGTTGAGTCATGTGGCGCAAAAGTGTCACATTTACTCTTTCTTAGCGGTGACCTTGAGACCAGAAAACCAGCCACCGGATGCTCAGGAGAGGACACAGGAGAAAACACCCAGTCCATCCTGAGCCCTCAGGCAGAGCAGGCCATCACGCATTCAGTCAACCTTGATTTCTCCAACCTGACCTTGGGCCAGGCACCATGCTGGCACTGAGGAGCCGAAGCTGAACCAGACAGACAGGTCCCTTCCCCCAGGAAGCTGTGCTGGGGCAGGGTGGGGTAGGAGGTGTCGGATAGTTTACGAACAGCGTCATTGTGGGTGGTAATAAGTACTGAGTCCCAGCCAGAGGCTTGTTAGCTGGAACAGTCATAGCCTTTGTCAGTCCCCCAGCGTGGGTCCAACAGTTCTCACTCTTCAAATTGGCTAGTCCCACTCTCCCCAGCCCCATTCCCACTCTTGCACATGGCCGGGAGAATTCCAGGACCAGAGCCTGGTGCCCAACACACTTAATAAATAGGTCTTGATTGCCTGGATGGAGATGCACACTGTTTTCATAGAATAGTATAAAAATCGAAATCAGCTGCCCATATTATTGCCATCTTTGGCAAAGGTCCAGGAAGGCCCTGCAGATGCAACACTGCTGGGTTTTAAGCCACAAGATACACACACACACACACACTCTCTCTCTCTCTCTCTCTCTCTCTTTCTCTCTCTCTCTCTGAGCATTTGAGACAGGGCTAAGACTTAAGCTGTGTCCAAGTTGTT